CAACCTCTAGAAGGTGTCTATTCTTACGTTCGGCAATCCCATTTTGTTGTGGGGAGTCGACGCAAGAGCTTTGATGAATGATCCCATGGGATTGGAGAAAATCGCCCATGGTGGTATTGAAGTATTCAGTGCCATTATTAGTATGTAGAGGTTGGATGTGTGTCTGAAATTGTGTTTGGATCATGGTATAAAAATTAATGAATATAGAGCGAACATCAGACTTATCTTTGAGTAGGTATACCCAGCAAAGTCGAGTGTGATCGTCAATGAACGTCACAAACCACTTTGCATGAGTTCAATTGGGGATTCGTGAGGGACCCCATAAGTCGCTATGTATCATGATGAATGGTTGGGAAGGTTTGTATGTGGAGATTGGGAAAGATGTCCGATGATGTTTTGCAAACTCACATATTTCACACTGAATATCAAAAGATCTTTTATTCATAAATAGTGATGGGAAAACATGTTTTAGGTACTGAAAGTTTGGATGACCCATTCTAAAATGCCATAACAAAATATCACTATCTCTAGGAACAAATGTAGAATTACAAAGTGTGACTTCTTGTTGTATACTTACATCAGTCTCATCAAAATAGTAAAGTCCTTCACGCTCTTTAGCACTGCCAATCGTCCTCCCCGATGATAGGTCCTGAAAAACACAGCAAGATGGGAAAAACTGAGCAGAACAATTTGAGTTTTTTGTTAACTGGCTTACAGACAGTAAATTACACGACAATTTTGGAACATGAAGGACAGATTCGAGAATTATAGAGTCAGAGATTTTAATACTCCCTTTTCCTGCAACCGATGACAGTGAGCCATATGCAATTTTAACTTTTAAGTTGCCAGCACAGGTGAAGTATGTAGAAAACAGATGATAGGAGTCCGTCATGTGATCAGATGCCCCTGAATCGATAATCCAGGGAACGTTAGATTGATTTGCAGAATGCAAGGCACTCAAAAAATTACCTTTGCGTGCTAACGAGCTAGAGGGATTTTTTGCGGATGTTTGACTTGACGATTGAAGACTGGAAAGAATTTTGTAAAGTTGTTCCATCTGTTCGGTATTGAATGCACNTGTTTGGTATTGAATGCACCGCTAGACTCAGTTTTTCACATTTGGTGATCAAAAGTCGCTTGGTACCCACGATTTTTACTGTTTTGTCGAGGCTTCCAATCGCTCGGTTTTCCATGTAGATCCCAACAAGTATCTTCTTTGTGCCCTGGCTTCCGACAATGCTCACACCAAGGCCGACCTTGAGATTTTGGACCTAGCCCAGCAGTGCCTCCTTTAGAGTGTAAGCCCATCATTCAAAGCCCATCATTTGAGTTGTTTGGGCCATTATTCAAGTCCAGCCCACTATTAAACGTGGCTGGCCCATTATTACCATTAGGTGGCCCATTAGTAAGGCCTGTCTCCTTATATTTCAGCCCATAGGTAGAGGGCCCAGATCTGTTGGAGATCAAGCCAGAGACCTCCAACGCAGGAGTGCCCGATTCGGTCAACATGACCTTTCGCCGATCTGCTTCCCGCCTGACTTTCGAAAACACTTCCCGCGACGTGGGTAAGGGTCGTCGGCCAAGTATTCGGTCGCGAACCTCGTCAAGATCGCAATGAAGACCCGCGAAGAACTCGAAGACCCGTTCCGTTTCTACCTTCTTCCTGTACTGAACGCTGTCTTCGGCACACTTCCATTCTTCCTCTGAACTTTGATCTAATTCCTGCCATAATCCGGTCATCTCCAGGTAATACTCCGTTACATCTCGATCTCCTTGCTTCGTTTGCCATAATTTCGTTTTCAATTCGAAAATTCTGGAAAAATTCTCGGAATCTGAATACATCTCCTTCACCGCCTCCCAAACATCCTTTGCAGTCGGAAGAAATAGATAAGTTCTCCCAATGACAGGCTTCATGGAATTAACAAGCCAGGCAG